TGTGTGTGTGTGTGTGTGTGTGTGTGTGTGTCTAAGTGTATGTAGGCATAACCATTTCTTAAGATTCTCTGGTATCATTACACAAATAATTCATTTAATCTTTGTGTACTTCTTTGTTTGAAGTGGCCTTTGTTATGGATTGAATTGTTCCCCCAAAAATGTGTGTCATCTTGGCTAGGCCAGAATTCCCAGTGTTGTATGGTTGTCCTCCATTTTGTGATCTGATAATCCTATATGTTGTAAATCCTAACCTCTGTGATTTTAATGAGGCAGGATTAGAGGCAGTTATGTTAATGAGTCAGGACACAGTCTACAGGATTAGGTTGTATCTTGAGTCAGTTTCTTTTTAGATATAAAAGAGAAAAGAGAGCAGAGAGGAGAGGCGTCTCCTACCACCAAGAAAGAAGAGCCAGGAGTGGAGCACATCTTTTGTACCCAGGGTCCCTGCACTGAAAAACTCCTAGACAAAGGGAAAGATTGATGACAAGGACCTTCCCCCAGAGTTGACAGAGAGAAAGCCTTCCCCTGGAGCTGGTGCCCTGAATTCAGACTTTTAGCCTTCTAAGCTGTGAGAGAATAAGTTTCTGTTTGTTAAAACCACCCACTTTTATTTCCATTATAGCAGCACTAGATAACTAAGAAAGCTTTATTTGTATATTTTCGATTGTGATAAAATATCACAACATAAAATTCGCCATTTTAACTGTTGTCGAGTATATAATTCAGTGGCATTAATCACACTCACAATGTTGTGCAACCATCATCACTATCTGTTTCCAAAAGTTTTTCTTATCACTCCAAACAGAAACTCAGCAGCCACCAAGCAGTAACTCCCCGTTCTTTCCTTCCTACAGCCCCATGGTAACCACTAATCTACTTTCTGTCTCTATGCATTTTTCTATTCTAGACATTTCATATAATGGGATCATACAATATATGTTCTTTTTGTGTCTGGCTTATTTCACTTAACATAATGTTTTCGAGGTTCACCCATGTGCTAGCATGTATTAGAACTTCATTCCTTTTTTTTTCTTTTTTCCCATACAAGAATTTATACATACATGGTTATGTGACTAATTGCTCTCCCCATAGTGTAACAGCACACTCCTCCTTTCCACCTCTGATTCCCCATGTCCATTCAACCAGCTCCTAACCCTCTTTGCCTTCCCATCTCACCTCTGTACAGAAGCTGCAAAATCAAGTTGGTTGATTGTAGCATTTAGCTCTTCTGTGTCTTTGTTGAG